CACACACACACACACACACACACACCTTCCTACCTGGTAACTATTCGCAAGGTTCCATGGCTTTAGTCAGCTCCTTCATGCGTGTCTGCCCGACATTTACTACGAAGACCTCGTTTCTGATCCTTTGGGGGCCCTCCCCTCTCCTGGCCCTTTTGGACTCTGGACTCTGCCTTGTCTTTTTGTAGTCATCAGCCATGCAGTTGTCATCCTTCGGGGCTCTAGGTGAACCAGGCGCCTGAAATGAGGTGGTGAAATCGTCAAACAGCTCCTTGCTGGTGAGTGTTTATCCCCCTGGTATTGAGGGGGGTTTGGGCTGGTGGTGGGAGCTATTGCGGCCTCTGCTCGCCCCAGATGGCCTTCACCCCAGATGGGACCATCTCAGATTTTGGCTACTTGGCCCAAATTCCTGAATCTCTGCAGAATCTTTTTCTTTGGACCCAAGAAAGCCTCCTTGTTTGTAAGCACCAGATTCTCTCTGGCTGTCTCGCTCCCGTCTCCTCCTAAAGAGACTTCTGGGGAGTGATGTGTCCCCCTCAGCTCCAAACCGGCTGGTTTGGGAGGAGCCGGCTTCTGTCCCACAGACCCGTGAAGAGCATCCTGCGTGTCTCCCACGAACTCCATGGAGACCTCTGGAAATCATTGTTCAGTTAGAGGTAGCTCTCTCTCTCAGCTACCAGATGTTGACCTTTGTTGGCCAAGTGGTGGAACCTCCCCGTTTCTGTTTTGGTTTTTGCATTATCTAGGCCACTTGCAAATTATCTGTTCTGGCTTCTTTGCCCCTAAAATATCTTGGTGTCCTTCGAGCCTTGGGACCAATTTCCGGCAGGGCTTGTTGTTCAGCCATCGGGGCTGTGGTCTTCTCCAGGGGGGAGTGAAGACGGTGAGAATGCTTCCTGTTGGATGTTCACTGCTCATGACGGCATCATGGTCTGCAAACCAGCCGAGAAGTTGGGTGGAACTTCTTAGGAGCCTTCAGATGTGTCTGGAGAAAGACACCCGCTTCTGGGCTGGAAGAGTTCAGAGCCTCCTAAGTTGCCTTCGTTTGGAGACGGCGGCTTCAGTTCCCAACGTCTGCTTCCGTGCAGGTTACTTTAATGGACTCATTTCGGGATCTCGGTCTTGTGGAGCGCTCAGCCACGGTCTGTCCCTCAAGCATTTCTATGCCTGAGCAACACAGCTCCCGTTCCAGTCAAGCTCATCCTCAGACAGACTGATGTGCAAGCTGGTTTCATCGATGCTCAAGAAGGGCCGTGGGGCCCCCCAGTTCTCAGCTGCTTCCACCAACGTATGGACTTCTGTTGACCGCCCAACACTCTCCTGGCCTTGAGTTTTGATCTGGGTGCTGGAATTCTGGCTTCCTCCCAGCGTCCTGGCTTCAGACTCAGACCTAAAGAAGTTGTCTGGGCTGCTGAGCACGGAAGGTTCAGGGACGGCCCCGGAAGACGCCCCAACCTTCTCTGTCTCCAAGCAGGGAGAGATGGTTTTACTTGATCTCCTTCGCAGAGTTGGTGGCGGTGGATTGAGTTTGGGGATGAACAGCTGCAATCTGTCAAAGGAGAATGGGAGGCAGGTCAGAGTCAAGACCGGTCGTGGTTGGGTGTTCGCACATGCAGTGTGGAACCCCAACCTGAGAAGGAAGCAGGTCACAGAGCGGAACCACCACAACTTACCTTTCCCTCAGTATCGCTGCATCTGGACTGCTGCAAGTTGGCTGCGTGCTTCCATTGGGTCCGCTGCATTCGTCTGCCTCAGATCCCTCCACGCTGCGGAGTCCGCCAGGCCCTTCCAGAACCGCCAGGTGTTCTTCTTTCTCCAGCCTGCCGGACAGTCCACTGCCCATCTCCAAGTTAGTCAAGTTCTGGCGGGATTCGTAAGAAGCTAGATGCGTCGTGGGGCTGCCCACTATGCTGGCTGGTGTTGAGGTGGAAGACAAGTTGATTTCGAGACTGTAGTGGTCCTTCAGGTTGAAGGACAGCGAGTGCTCCGAGCTGAGGTTCTGCAGGGAGCGCTCCACTGGAGGCGAGAAGGGGAAGGCAGGGTTGAGGGACACCTGGAGGCCAGCAGGTAAGAAGATGCTACTCTGGGGTGGCCGGTGTATTTCTGGCAAGGGCAGCATTCCCTAGACATGACCTCTGGTGGCCTCCCTTCCTTGCCCCACCGCTGCCCCCTTCTTTCTCCCTTCCACCTCCTGAGCCCCTCAGTTGTCTTGCTCCCAAGGAGCCGAAGGTGAGGGAGCACGAAGCACCTCACCTGCCCCGGTCCCTTGCTCACCTGGACGCCGCAGCTGCACCCTGATCTCCAGCTCCGTCAGCTGCCTCACCAGCAGGGAGACGTGTTGAAGGAGATCGCGGTTCGTCAGGAGCAGCTGGCGGACCCGAGCCTGGGCCTCCACGCGGGCCACCGTCTCGGCCGACAGCTGGTCCTCCAGCAGCTGCACCTGTGGGGAAGAGGATGGGCAAGTCGCCTGGCAGGCATCTCCTTCCTGCCCCAGCAGACGATGCCCAGATGGGGCAGATTCTAATCATGGACATTGCACCAGGTGCGCAGGCTGGGAGCTGCAGTGGGGCACCTGGCAGCTGGAGCTCCCTTTGCTGTTCGGACAGGTGGAAGATTTACATACTGTCTGCTATAATGTCCATGCCAGGACACTCAACCCTACAAGTCCCTGCACTGTCACCGCTTGGGGAACCCCGGCTGGAGTCACCGCTCCCACAGAATTATTGTGGCCAACAGTTCCACAAGCCAACTTGATGGGCTGCCGGAAGCCTCCTTCAGGGGTGGCCCAAGTGGATTGTGGTTGTTATTGAGAAGCAGAGTCCTTCCAGTGGAAAAGAGGCCAGGGCAGATGTGGGAACTTTTGCACCCAGGACAGAGAAGGCTTACCTGTGCAACTGCCACCTGCGTCTGCTGTTGCTGCTGGAAGAGCTGGTGCTGGAGCAGCTGCAGGCAGTGCTGGGAGGCGAGCGGGGTGGCCGAGGCGGAGGAAGAGGGGCTGCCGAGGGGCTGGGCGGAGGAGGGCCGGAAGCCGCTGTTCTCCTTGTCCTGGGAGCCAGAAGAGACCAGAAATGGGGGCTGCTCCTTTCGCCCTCCCCGAGAAGCCCCAGGGGGAGCTCCACCTGCAGCCTTCCTGTTTCATTTCCAGGGCTCTCCCCAAGGAGCCACCCACCTGGCTGTCCCTCGCCTTGGGGCCGAGCCCATTTTTCAGCTCCCCCAGGTCAGGCGTGGAGAAAGGCAGCTCACAGATCCCACAGTCAGGCAGGCACACCACTACCGACCCGGCCAGGCTGTTCTCTCGGTCAGCCAAGGCCGGCTCCACCGGTTGGAGACCTTCGGGAGACACAAACAAGGCAGAAAAAGTAAGACCCAGCTGGGATCCTGGCCTAGCTGGGGACTGTGGAGTGCCCTGAAAGGGGGGCTGTCCTCAAGCAGAGCTGGTCCTCCAGAGAAACCCCTTCCCAGCCTAGGAAAAAGGAAGAGGAATCTGGAGGAGAGCCGGACTGCTCATCTACCGTTCATCAAGACAGGTTGACCTTGGATAACAGAAGCTGGCCCAGGTGTGTCTCTGAGACTTACCTGCTGCAGGTCATTTAATTTCTGAATGGAACAAAGGGCGTCCTGCAGCCACTGGTGGGCACAGCAAGGATTATTTTCCCATCTCAAACCCTCCATTTTTGGGAAGCCCAAGATGCCGAGATCAGCCACTTACTTTCTCCAGATTTACGACCCAGAGAAGGCCCCTTCAAGGTCTCACCTTCTATCTGAGCGTCGTCGGTAGAGTTGTTGCTGGCCCCGTCAGCTTGGCCGTCGGCATTCTGGAGGGCGTGCTGCAGGCTGAGCTTATGGCACACCTCAAAAGCCTGGCCCACCGTCCTCACCACACGCATCGCCTGGGTCTGCGGGAAGAGGCCCGTTAGCAGGAGCCAAGGCTTGGCCCGAGGCAGCCCCGATTTGCCCCGCTTCGCTTGCCTTCTTTTTGGACTTGAAAACGTTGCAGCGGAAGGAGTCATTGGTGCCGTCCCTGGCGATGTAGCTGAAGATCTTGAGATCCTGAGAGTCGTGGGAGACGTAGAAGATTCTACGGGAAGGTGGGACCAGAGAGAGGGGCACAAAGACAGCTTAAGACCAGCCCCATCTCTTCCTTGCTCCAAGCCAGCGTTTCTCAACCTTGGCAACTTCAAAACTTTAACTCACGGCTGGCTGGGGAATTCTGGGAGTTGAAGTCCGCCCCTCTTCAAGCTGCCAAGGTTGAGAACCACTCAACTCAACAACTCAACTGCTCCAAACGTTCAGAAACACTAGCCCAGCATCCGTTCCTTACTCTCCAGAGGTTCTGGGGCCGATGCCTGGCCTTCTGGAACCTGCTCCCCAGCTTGGATGGCTGAGCCTCCTGGACCTCCTTGAATCAAGGAATCTCAACACCCAACGATTCAATGGTCCTTTTCAGATGTGTGCAATGCCTACCTTCCCAATGGATGGGGCAGATCTGTAGGGGTGGACGTTCGGTCCCGAGTTAAGTGTTGTGTTGTTACAACTTGTGACAGTTTGTTTGGTGACTAAGTTATAGTGGCACTGAAAAAAGTGACATGTCTGGACACCGTGATGGGTATGGAGAGACAAGAAGATGAGGATTATTCCCAGCGACTCACCGATAGACAGGGTCATGCATCACCATGCCTTTGCCTTCATCCCAGGTCCATTCCTTCCTCTGGAAAGGGGAGTGAGAGAAGAGATGACGTTAGCAGGGCCAACTGTTTTGGGCTTAGTAGCCATGCAGCACCTCGTATTCTCCAGGAGTTGAGGGGACCAAGAGACCCCCTTGCCAAGGGATGATGGAAGCTCAAAGCAAGAGCAAGCTCCGGGCTTCCTTTTCCTCTGCCAAGGGAGACGGGTGTCACTTGATAAACCTGGCAGGTAGAGGATCTCTCTTTGAAGAAGAGAGTTCCCTTAAATTCACCCTTTCCACCCCAGCAGTCTGGATCGCTCCGGGGCTCTGCCCTGCTTGTCTCTGGGGTGGTGTTTCGACTTGGGGTCCCCCAGGTCAGGCCACCCACCTTCGGCTTCTTCCTCAGCAGCACCTTCACCCCGTCCACCGAGACCACAATGTTGACTTTTCTCTTCTTCACGTTCTTCGCCTTAAATTCATACTGTGGAGAGAGATGACAGAGGCCCAGGAAGTCCCCGACTTAACGGCCACAATCGGGACCAAAATTTCCATTTCAACAATTATAAATTGAAGATCCTGGGAGCTTTTGAGCTGTCTGAAGGAAGGGAAGGTTTGAAAGGGGATGGGGGGGTGGGGGGGTTTGATAGGTGGGCTGCAGGTTTTCCTTTGCTCCTAATAGAGGGGGGCTTCTAGGGGAGCCCCCTGCCTCATTAGGGCCTCAAGACACGTCTGCTATTGCTCTACACTTGTTTCAATGTCATCCTATCGATTTTAGCAGCTGTGAGATTTGGGCTTTTCACGATCTTTGTTTTCAGGGCCGCTTACTGGTTGGAGATGTAGAAAACCGGGCTGTGCATAAATCAAAAACTGCAGTGGCTGCTCTGAGATACGAAAAGGGAAAGATTTCCTGGACCCCCGTTTCTCAGAAGCAAGATTTTTGCCTCGGCTGGCAGATTTGCACCACCGAAGGTGGGCATGCAGAAAAGGGCTGTGCCACAGGGGGGAGACGGAGGGCAGGGCTCAGAGGGTGGGTGGCATCGTCAGGAAAGACAGAGAGGGGAAAACTCTGTCGGAACAGGTGCCCAGATGCTCCACGGAGGCATCTTCCCGCTCTGCTTAATATTCCAGGCGAGTCAGAACGGAGCTGCTATCGAGTCAGGAGGCGCAGCTTCTTCGGGGTTTGCAGGGGAAAAAGGAGCCTTAATTTCAGCTCAGAAAGCTCAACAACTGCAGGCAGCTAATAATAATCCGAAGGGAGGCCTCGCCGTTTAAAAATACATTCAAATTCAGGCTTAGCTTGGCTTTAATGACAGCGTAGTCTGGCACAACCAGCTCTTATCCCCCACATTTGTATTCCCCTCGGTTCTTCCCCTTTTCTCTCCAGTTCTGGCTCTTCCTCCTGTTCTCCAAGGGAGGGTTTCACTCCGAAAAGCCACGGCCTTTGATCTCTGCTCTGCAGGCTTCCCAGTTTCCCCAGTTTTGTGGGGGTGGTACAGCATCTGCACCAGCAGAAAATGTTTAGCCTTCTGGCTCGACAGGTATTCCTCCCCCCGTTCCCGTTGGCAGCTTCTCCCAAAGGAGAGGATCTTTGCAAAAGATTGGCTTGAAAGGGAAAAAAATCAGGGGTCTATTTGGCAGTTGGGGGGCACACCCGAAGGGTTGGTGCCATCAGCCGTGCCACCACATAACAGGGTCCAATCTGGGCCAGTCACCAGGACCAGAGTTTCGTCTTCCAAGCTTTCATGGGAAGCTGCATTTGCCCCTTGAGGTTGGCTGCAGGAACCGTTTTGATATTGTGTTGTAGGAACACTGATGGCTACGGGTGAATTCTCACCCTGGGTCTGTTCCGTTTCCCCCCCCCCCACTTAATCACTGGTTTGCGTAAACCAGCTCCTGTGTGGGTGGCATCTCAGTTGGATTTTAGTTTGCGTTCTTTCCCCCCCAAAAAAATATTTCTTCTTCCCCACTGAACTACAAGTGAAAGAGAGATTAAAATTCCTGATCTCTCTCTCTCTCTCCCTGCAGTGAAAAATCTGTTCTTCAGCTCAGCTGAAACGTGAAGTATGAACCAAGGAAGGAAGCAGAAGCCACAATAAATCTGTTGCTTGCAAGATTCATAGGGCACCGTCTGTCTGCAAGGAAAGCCAGGCAGATGCCTCCAGTGGATTCACAGGATAAGGAGAGCTTGCCCTGACGTCTCTTCCATGGTCCTCCTCCTCCTCCTCCTCCTCCTCCTCCTCCTCCTCCTCCTCCTCCTCCTCCTCACGTCAACAGCGTTTCTCAGCCTTGCCCTCTTGAAGATGTGTGGCCTTCAACTCCCACGCTGATTTGCCTGGTTTACAGGCTGCGAGTTGGCGTCCATCTCTGTTGGCTGGAACATTCTGGGAATTGAAGTCCACCCATCTTCACGTGGGCAAGGTTGAGAAACGCTGGCCTCCGAGAGTGCATTTTCCTTGGAACCCGTCCCTCCAAAGAAGCCGGCACGGCACTTTAGGCACCAAGGGAAGGACTTTTCAGAATTGGGTTTTGTGCTGTTGGACGTTTGTTTTGAAGGCCAGCCACAGCCTGCCCTCTTCAGTTGGCCCGGACAGTGCAAGGAGAAGGTCCACCTGGTTAAACCTTAGAACCCGAGTGGCAGCGTGTTCAGAAGCTGGGCAGTGGTCAAGAGGAAGGAGGAGGCTAGGAGGACAGTCAACAGGCCCCTTGGTTGTGCCTTAGAGCAGAGGCCCCCAACCTTTGGGGCACCAGGGACCGGTTCCGTGGAGAGAGGTTTTTCCGAGGACTGGAGGATGTGTGGTTTTGTGTGCTGCCTGCATCCCGTGGATGAGGCTTTGCTTGTTTGTGCAGACCAGTTGCTGGCATGCTGTGGCCCGGTATTGGTCCGCAGACCAGGGGTTGGGGACCCTTGCCTTAGAGGGAGTCAGCTCTGCTCCTTCTACCCAGCCTCTCCCAACTTCATGCCTTCCTGGTGGGTTGGACTGCAACCTTGAAGTTCTTGTGGCTACTCTCCTGTCCAGAGAGAACTCAGCTTTTAGTCGCTGTCCTGAGCAGAGGTGGGGGTCAAAGTGGGCGTGTGGTCAGTTTATGAGGACACCAAAGCAGTTTCTCCCTGAACTTTCAGAACAGGATGCCTCCCCCCCCCTCTTTTCCCCATGTGGGCCACACCTTGGCTGCAAGCACCTGCTGGTTTGCCTCACATCCCCCCCCCTAAAACATAGGCCAGAATTGCCCTTTGAAAGAGCTGCCCACCTCCTCCTGCCCTTTCACCCATTCCTGGCTGCCTTTCCTTGCCTCCGTCTTCCTTCTGTTCCGGAAGAGAGGCTGTGGCCGTGGGCTCAGGAGCAAAGATGGCGGGAGCCTTGCCAAGCAGAAGTTGGCATGGCTGCTTCTCGGAGAGGAAGGCGGGGGTGGCATTTGGGAACCCGAGAACATTGCGCGTTTCTCCCTGTCTTCCCTTCCAACAGAAAATGCCTGGGTGGGCCTTGGGGGTTGGGGAGGGGGGTGCAGAGAAGAGAAAAGGGAGGAAAGACGGGGACGGGTCTGCATTGACTCACCCGGATCCTCCTCATGGCAGCCACAATCTCCATACGGCTGTTGGGTCTTGGCACATCCAGGCTACCAATGTACTAGAGGGGGGGAGAGAGAGAGGGATGCCGTTTGCTCCAATGCCAAAGCAAAGCAAGGGGCTTCCGTGCCCGTGGGAAGCCCCTCTCCTCCCTTCAGGATCTGCCAGGCCTTTGGGCGTTGGTGCAGGCTCCCCCCAGTCCCCAGTTTTGCTTGCCAGTCAGTGCCACATGTGGCTCAAAGAGCTGAATTCAAAGTTCCCAAAGGAGAGCCGGACGCCAATTATTTTTTCCAGCAGCCTGGCCATTGATGGGTAGTGTAGTCCAGCATATCTGGTGAGCACTACACAAAGGCCAAACTCAGAAACCATCAATTGCAAAAGGCTTTAGCTCTGCTCTAGCAAAGAGATCCCTGGCCTGCCGGCTTGCAAACCAGGACGAGAACAAAATTTAAGGCAGCAATTAACGATCTCAAAAAAATAATAATTATAATAATAATTATGTCCAAGTTTGAGACAACTAACAAGGGTTGGACGCTTCCGAACGTAAACAACTAATAATTGACGCCTGGAAGCCACATTGTTAATAAAGCATTGTTCACACACTATTTTTAAATCCTCTCCCCTCAAATGGTTCTAATTAAAGACCAAAGAAGCCAGGGAATCTGCTTCTTTTTTTCTTCATCTTCTGGAGTGCTAACTCAGTGTATTTTTATCTCCTGAAGCTTTAAAATGGGAAGCGCGTTCATGCCCGTTTGGTGCTGTTCTGCTCAGTCACCCCTTCCCATCTCCAGGGCTTCTTGGAAACCATCCTTGGGAAGTTTCCCCCTGAGCAATGGGGGGGGGGGGCTCGGTGGCTTTTCTTTTTGTTGGGAACAGAGGCGGGGAGAGCCAATGGCATTCCCAGGATTTAAGGGCAGTGGTTTTTTTAAAAGGAATTTGACCCAGTTTGGGAAGTGAGGAGCTGAAAAGGTAGAGTTTCACATTTAAAACATCTCTCTGTCTCTCCCTCCTTTTCACACACACACACGCATGTATACCCACTCCGCCCTCCAAAATGGCCACTCCAGACACCTCCTCATTGAGCAAAATCCTGGGTGCCTTCAGAGAAGTGAGACCAAGCCAGAGCTTAGCCAGATCTTCTTCAGAAAATCAGTCTATTTAAAACAGACTTTGCACAAAGTAACTGGGTTCAGCTTTTGTCCCTGCTTACGTACTCAGGAATATTTAATCAGGGCAACAGGGTTAAATTCCACTCCTATTGAAAGGTCCTTCAAATGTGGACTGGCTAAAATATGCCAGAGTGTGTGGCTACCCCTCAGGAGAGCTCCTGATTCCAAATTGTGTCCATCCTGACCCACTGCAACCCTTGACACTGCTGGCTGCCAAGGCCGGAGGGGACCAGGCCGAAATCAGCAAAAGTTCTTATTTTGCCCTTTTGCAAAACTGCTGTCTGAATGTTGCTGCTTAGGGGAGCATTTTTCCCCTCTTTTGTAAATCTCCCCCTGGATACAAGCACAGATTCTACAATCTTTAATATTTGCCATAAATTTTCCCCATCAGAGAATCTGCCCCTATTCCCTTTGGGCCGATGAAGAGTTCTGTGCCAACAGGAAGCCTCCACATTTTTTCAGCCAGAGCGCCCGCCCGAAGCAGAGTGTCCAGATGCAGGGAGCTGCCCTCCTGGTGCAGCAAACAGGTGAAAGAGGGAAGCTTTTCAAGGTGAGGTGGGGGAGGGGGAGTTCCTCTCCCATTTAGGCTGCTAATTATTTCTGTGGGAAACTGTCCAACTCATTTAAACTCTAAAATCTAAGGACATTAAAATAATGGTTTAAAAATCACCCAACAGGACAAACCAGTTTATGCAAAGCCAGATGAAGGGCCTGCAGCGGACCTGTTTGGTTTTCCTGCCCCCTTTCTGGTCCCCCAGTTTCCTTGGCTCCAACGCAGGGAAGGAAGACCAACCAGAGGTGGGCTCCTTGGCCAGGCTTTTGCCCGGTCTGGCCTGGTTGCTTATCCAGCATCCTTGTGAGAATGGCAAGATACGGAGGGCAAGGAGGAGCATGGCAAACGGGCACGTTTTGGCATGTTTTCCAATCTGACCAGCACATCGGAGGAGGGGGGGGTTGCCACACCTACACGCGGAAGCTTTGCTGTAACTCAGAGGGAACCAGCTGCTAGATAAGTCTTCATTTCGCACCTGATGTCCAGAGGGTAGACTGTGGCTGCAGAGAGAGGCTCTATCTCAGCCCCTCCGGAGGAAAGTTCACTGCCTTTTCGGCGCATCAGGAGACACCAATGCAGCAGTGACCAAGCAACTCTGCCCCTATTTCCTCGCAAGCCCCCCCCCCCTCCTCCTCTCCCGGCTCTTTCCAGACGCAGCCGGCCGGCTCTCTGCCCGCAGGCCGATCCAGCCAAGCGCCAGGCTCGCAGCGGCCTGAGAAACGGGTCCTGCGCCGGAGCTCTCCTCGCTTGGCCCGCTGCCGGGACTCGGGTGGACGGAGCTGGGCCCGGGTGGGCACCGGGAGGGCTTCCTCCCCGCCCCCCGCTCACCTTGGCCTGGAAGTGGATGCCGTGCTGGAACGCTTCCTCGTTGTGCAGCGGCACCCGCGCGTCGCCCGCGTCGTCCACCAGGTTGTAGCGGTTCTGGAGCTTCCCGGGCATCTTGCGGCGGCGGCGGCGGCGGC